TCCTCTCCACCTGGCGGGAGCTAGGGTGAGGGGCGCTCAGGTCCTGCTGGGCTGGAGCTTGCATCTTACTGCCTTCATGAGGTGCTGGGTTCTCGCAGATGTAGATGTAGCCTGGCTGTTGTCCTGAGTCTTCTGGTCTCTCTTTTAAGAATAGTTGTATTTGTTGTATTTTAAAAAATATATATGGTTTTGGGAGGAGATTTCCACTGCCCTACTCATGCCGCCATCTTGGCTCCACCCCCTTGTGTTCTTTTCTGGAATAAGATGAACACAAATGCATATAGACATGTGGCCTACTTAATTATAGAAAAGGCATAGAAGCAAAAGACCTGGTAGAAATAGTGTGATATGGTTTTTTTTTAACATTCTATTAGAATTTTCATGTTGGAAAGGACCTACAATTAATCAAATTTATCTCCCAGATGAAGAAACTTAGGATGGTCTCACAGCTTCCCATCTGCCATCAGGTCATTCGTTCTCTGATTTTATTGGTTGAAAGAGAAATTTGATGCTTCCTATTCTTTGGAAATAGCATTGTTTTAGTTTCATGGATATTTATCGCTGCCTGTTTGACATTTTTTTTCCTCAGTTTTTTTCTTGTAAATTTAGAGATTGGCTATGAGCCTTTGTGAACATTTTCAGCAAGTTTCTTCAGGTTGTTTTCAATCATATTTTTAGTATCTGCTATTTACAGAGTGTTTTATTAGGTACTGGTGATATTATAAAGAAGGAGAAATGGTTATTGGCTTGGGAAATTTATACTCTTAAGGAGTAATTGAAAAATTCCAACATAAACATATAAAGCCAAGCTAATGGAGCATGATTGGTTCAGCTGAGCAGGAATATATATGTTTAGAAGCTTTCAAGCTTCTAGATAAAGCAATAGAAAGTTGGTGAAACAGTCTGTGAAGTCTACATGGAACTTAACATGGAAACTGTCATTTTCTTTGGGGGAAGCAAAGGCATCTTTAGTCTGCCTGTCATAGAGATACTTACCAAGGGGTGCTTGTAGTTGGGATGTTAGAGCAGAGGCATTTGAACAATGATAACAGAAGAGCTGCCCCATGTAAATATATTGAAAACATGTTAATGTCAGTTTTCTAGGTTGTGGCTTTTGATACCTGATAAAGGGTCTTCAGTAAAGAGAAAGAATGCAAAGATGTCTCCCATCGTGTTGTGAGTTTGTCAGCAGTGGTCATATGAGGATTTTAGATTGAAACTCAGTTTGCCCATATCAATGCTGAAACTAGATGGTGTGCAGGATAATGAGTGTGAAAAGTATGACATAAAAAAAAAGAGAGTCATGGACACAGATGTCCAGTACATCCTGGACGATACAGTATAGCATCCTCAGAGGAAAATGAAAATGAGTTCAGATACATTAAACTTGGTGGATGAAGTGTGCCCTTGGTCTTTTTCTAGTGAGAGATCTCTAGAGAACAATTTGTGGTGATTTGAAAAACTAAGAGTAGGAGCATGATTGTAAGGTTCTTCCAATAAAATGCAGTAATTCATTGATTTCAGCAAAATTCAGTAATTCATTGGTTCATTGTGGTCATTGGAACCATTATTTTGACCAAAGAAATGATCAATTAAGCTTCTGTATAGGTTGGAATGAGGAATGGGTTAGAGATAGAAAAACAAGCTGGATGTCTACTTTATGTAAATCGAGCATGCTGACATTGATGCATAACCCCCCACCCCCTAAGCTATGGTAATTGTAGACTATCGATCAGTATTATCTGTATCTTAACAATAAACTGTATAGAATGGGAGTGAGGACTGGTGGAGGTGCATATTTTGTGAGTACCATTCATTTAGTTATAATGGCTTGGCCACAGTTAAAATGCTATTAACAGCTCTGAAAACCACACTTTGATATATTGATCAAATGCATGTATACTAAAGAAACTGACCACGGTGACCAAATAACTCAGAAACATTGCCTGAGGAGTGGCTGTGGTGTTTAGCTTCCAGAGGAGCAGGCTGAGTACATAGATGGTTGTTATTCTAGTATTCAAAATAGGGACTGCTCTCTTCTGGAAGAAAAATTAGTTGTGCATTTGTGTGTGCTTCTACATCTGAGTCCCAGGATCAGGACTAAAGAGAGGAAACTCAGAGAAGGAAGGCTTTGGCTTCTTTTGAGGGAAAACTTTCAAATGATGTGAGTTCCTTGCCAGTGAAATAAATTGCCTTGTGAGGTAGTGAATTTCTTTTTATTACAGGAATTCAAACATATTTTGATTACAGCTTGGCGGGAATTTTTCAGGATATTGAAATTTTGATTGAATGTGCATTGGAGAAGTTGGAAAGCAGTATACTAGATATTTTTAAGGTTCAGGGAACCATGAGTTTATGATTGTAGGTAGTGGTAGTGGAAATGGAATGCAAAGAGTCATCCTCCTTACTTTGTTCTTCCTCTCATTCCTTCCTTTCTTTTTCCCTCTCTTCTGTGTCCTGTTCTCCCTCCTTTTTCTCCCTTTCTCACTTTCCCTCCTTTTCCTCTTCTCCTAATCTCCCTTTTCTCCCATCTTTCCTACTTCCTTAAAATATAGAAAATCTATTCTGTGCCAGACACTTTACTAAGTCCTGGGAAAACAGTGAGGAGCAAAGAAGGTGTAAAACCTATCCTCATGTAGGTTAGTTTTTGGAGATAGAGAAAATTATTAACTCTTAGAATCACTATGGAAGAGAAAATAGTCATCGGTGGAAGTGAAGCCATTCTTATCTGCTTTAGGAAGATGAGAGAAAGTCATAGGGTGGGGAAGGAAAAGAGAGAGAGAGAGGCAGAAATATTTCAAAGAACCTATTGGACATGGTAAGTGATTTGGTGAAGTCATTTAGAAGTGAGGAAGACATAGATTATATGAAAATTTTGAGGCTACAACTAGAGAGTGATTTACTTGAAAGAAATGGGGAATTAGGAAAAGAAATGGCTTTTAAATGAAAATGATCAGTTGGTTTTGATACTATTGAGTGTGATAGATCTTATCCTGGATTCATTTTGCACATGCAGGTTGATAATGTTATGAGATGCTTCCTTTTTATAAAGGAAATGCATCTGTAGCTTGATAATCCTTATTTAACTTCAGTATTATGTTAAATCTTAATTTTCTACTGGCATTTATTTTGGGGCCAACTAAAAAGTCACAGATTTTTATCCTTCAAAATTACTAAAATAAGCTGGAACATTACTGATAAAGTAAATTGAATTAAGTTAAGGGTTGTGTAGACAGCATTTCTTGTAGCATTCAAAAGTTTGAATGCTTCAAGAATGAGTTTGAGATTCAGTCAAACTAAATCAGTTACATCTTTGTGGATATAATTATTGTCTGTGTATATTTTCCTGAGATTTAGAACTAAACTAAAATTTGAATGATAATACACATAAAGAAAATTATGAATCAATTCTCTAAATGTTATAAGTAACATTACATTTTTAAAAAACATTAATGATGGAAAATTTCAAACATATACAATGACTAAAATAATGAATCCCCCATGTCTCCTTCACTCAGCTTCAATGATTCTCAATTTATGGCTAACCTTATTTCATCTATGATCCCATACAATTCCCCACCCCAAATTATTTTGGCAAAAATACCATAATCATATCACTTAACCTAGAAATTTTTCAGTATTTATCTTTTAAAAGATAAGTGGTTTTTAAAAAACATATGCATGATAATAGTAATATAAATAAATAGTAATAATAATTCCTTGATGATACTCATTTTTGAAGTTACTCTTGTTTTACATTTTTGTAAATTTAATAACATAATTGAAATGTTTAACATTAGGTAAAGTGAAGCAGTTGTATTTTCAAGTGGTCTTTCTTAGTATAAACATTTGGGTATGTACCTAATTATTAGAAGCCATTGGCACTTGGTTAATCATTTTCTTTCATGATGGTAGAAAGTCAACTACCCTAGTACCACTAAAAGTCATTTATATTAGCTCTCAGGCCATTCTTCTCAACTAAAGAATTTACCATACAAAATTTGATGAAAGAATATATTGAGTAATGATTCATAGGAAAGGAATCGGCAAAAGTTGATTTGTTTCTAGGTTAAAAGGTGGGGAAAGAGTATGCTAATTTCCCTATCATCACATCCAAAGCAAGGAACTTTTGTCAGTTTATGAAAAAGTCAATGAGTCGTATAGTAGGAAGATTTTGCTGATAAATTCCTACTCTTTTGAAGGGACATACTGTAATCTAAGGAAAAATGTTTGCATTTTGGCATTAAAAGAATCCCTTAGTGGAACTTTGTACAGGTTATCCACCTGACAAGTGAGATTAATACTATATATCATAAAGATAAAATGATGAATGAATGTGTGTGGAGGAGCTTTATAAATTGTCAGGTGCTTGTTCTCTAGTGCTGCTTAACAAGTCTACAACCTGGATGGTCAAACAGCATGTAGAGTCCTCGCAGTCCTGTGGAGTCTAGCTCAGCTAGGAGATTCTCCTTCTGGGGTTCTCCCCTGCTTTTGCAGTCTGGTGGCAGCTGGGTGCCAGCCATCCGAAAAATCTCAACAGGCCTCAAGGTCCAGGAGAGTTTCCTCTCTCACCTGCCTGGCACCTCAGCTGGGTGATGTGGCTGCGTGCTGGCCAGCTGTCTCTCTCTCTCATCACCCAGCCTTTCCATAAGGCTGTCCCGGGCCTCCTCACAGCTTGATGGTCTCAGGGTATACTTCTGACAGGACAGAGAGCTTCCCTCAGGGTGAGCATTCCAAGAGTGTCAGGGGAAGTGGAAAAGCTTGTTTTGATGTAGCCTCAGATGTCATGTGGTACCACTTCTACCCTCTGCTAATTAAAAGCTAGTTACAGGCAAGGCTAGATTCAAAGTGGGGGTTGGGGCACACAAATACCTGGAGGCAAGTTTCACTGAGCACATCTTTGACACTACCACACGATTTTACTAATCTAATTATTTGTACACATCCTTACTGTCTCCTCATGCCACAAAGTTTTACATTTTTATTTATTTTTCTGGTAGGTTATCAAGGATCCTCCTCCACCACCACCTCCTGCACCGAAAGAGGTAAATGAGTGCCTAATAGGTCATGAGGATGTTTTGTCTGGACTTGGATGTTATTCCCAAATTTGATCAATTGCATTGTTGTTAGATGACTATGATACCTCTATGTATTGACTTTTGAATTTATGAAAACCAATTGTTATTTTTCATCCTCTTCTGATTTCTTTCACATGCTAGAAGGACAGGACCTTCACACACTGGTGAGCATAGACTGGCCTTCGGTACCAACACTACACAGAGATTTAATTTGATTCCTATAACACTACATCAACAGTTCTGATGTCACTTATTTTATTTACAAAAAGGTGGAGGATTTAAGCTGGCAGTTTAAAAATGTTATAACTGTCTTCAAAATGATTATTACTTTTATATCACTCAGTTAGCCAAAATCGTGTTAGTGACAGGAAATATGGAATATACTACTGCAGTACATTTTCAAAGCTTTTCAGTTGCCTTTTTAGTACAAATTTTGCAGAGTTTGAGCTTAACACATATATTGATGCTTTACATGATTATTGAAATGCTGTCTTAATTTTAATGTTTTATCTTTGTGAATATTAAATGCTGAATAGATTTAGAGAAAACAAGTGATGCTTATAGTTAAGGAGCAACTTCTCATAACCTAGTGAAATAAGGAAGATTCCAAAAATTACTGGAAGGAGTCCTCATATTCCATAGAACTCCACATGAAATGTATGCATATAAACATAAACACATCCTCATGCCTTACATATATAATTTTTACTACACTTCTTCCTTGTCAATGTCATTAGTCAGAAAAATGAAAAATGTTTAAATATGACTCAGTTCTGACTAAAAAATATTTTAAGAAATTAATTAAACCCATTTTGTAAAACTTGTATCCACACAGGAGGAAGAAGAACCTCTTCCTACCAAAAAATGGCCAACTGTGGATGCTTCGTATTATGGTGGTCGAGGGGTTGGAGGCATTAAAAGAATGGAGGTTGGTATCTTTAAAAAAAATAGAAGCTGCTAATCTAGAACGTGTATTTCTGGAACTATTAAGCCATGGAAACTTTACTTTTCAGAACTCAATATCATAATATCACCCAGTTTTACTTAACATTGGGTCTTTTTTGGATATTTTTTTCTATGGAATCATTCTGGCCATTTCAAAACTGGTGAAGAAATGACTTCTTCAGTCAAAGAACGCATTGATAAAACATTTGAATTCTAAAGGGAAAAACAGAGTCAGAGGTTTTCTCTCTATTTTGGAAAAAATTACTGCAGAGAAAGAACATCAACTTTGAAGAAGCCAGGCACTTAAAGTTGCAACAATGCTTGTCTTTGAAAAGACCCAAATAATTATGTCCTAGTTGAGGATAAAAATGTTAAAATATTCAATGTTATGGATATGACCTTATCACAAACACAGATGAATCACATTTAAGGCTTTTTTTTAGCTTTTAGACTTTAGAATTTTATACTTATGAACAATCATAATTAAATAGCACTTACAGAATGTACTGAACTTTTAGACTGGCTCAAAGTGTGGGTTAAAATTGAACTATATTATTTTCTTAAATATCAAGTGAGGTCTTCTTACCACCACAGCAATATTTTTCTGTGGCTTAATTAATAATAAGCAATGATTGACAACACTGGGCCCTTAACAACAGTGTGTACAGGCAGTGTGTACCACCCCAATGAGCAATTGGAGGACTTTTCTCATTGATATATTGGCTTTTTTATTAAACACAGATCCTGGCACATCCTCCTTATTAGTTATCCTTTAATTTTACTTCTTGATACGATAGAGTTTTTATGTGTCTGCAGTCATTGAACAGGTTTCCTACTGTCATATTGCTTTGTTTTATTACTGCCAGCAAAAATCAATAAGCTAATTAACAACTTCAGAACTGTTGCAATTTTCTCTTTTTACACATTTCAATAAAATTCAGATTCTCGAAGAGTTTTCCCTTTTCAGAATAAAAATTTCAATATTCCTCAAAAGAAGCCCAGACTACTTAACATGGTGTCATTACCAAAGTGGTTTTTCAAGTCATCTGAGAGACTTTCTTGACCATATAAGATCTTAAAATAATGCACATTATACCTTAAAACTTGTCCCTCTATTGCTGAAATATCCTCAGAGACAGGTGCTTCACTGCCAAAAAGCCATGGGAAAGGCAGGTGCTAGAAGCTATTAAATTTGTTTTTTGGAGAAGGTTATTGCCTATGTGTTTGTGTGTGGGTAATTGGGATTATCAGATAGTAAGAAAACATGGTTAGGCTAACTGTTGTTCCTTGAGAGGAAGGTCATTTCCTTCTGCTTGCCTTTGTTGTTTGATTCTAGGCTTGGAGGAGTGGGAAAGAGTAGAGTAGATATTCCTATGTATATAAAAGTATACTTGTAAATAAAATAGTCACATATGGATATCCAAATATGATCTATCACAACTTATTTTTAGTTTAATTAACCTCATGCCAAAATGTGTGTGTAAAAAGATCTATGCAAGGGGAAAACGGTTTGTCAGGATATACCATAAAAAGTTAGTAGCTTTCTCTGGATAGAGTGATTTTCAATTTGTGCGATAATAATATCCTATGTTTTCCTAATTCATATGACAGTGAGCATGCACTAGTTTATATTCAGAGTAATAAATTTAATTCCATTTGAAATCCACACATTTAAATACCACATGACAGTGAGATAAAGATATATTAGTAAGTGAGCCTTAAGTGAATAAATAATGTTCTTGCTGAAAACACTAGGAATTATGCCAGATTTTTGTTAGTCCAATATTCAGAGTGCTGAAGATAGAGATCTCTTTGTAATGAAAAGCATACACATGAGCCTCTGAATAGGTCCTGAGTTAAAAGAAATATCATTCTTTTATGTTCACGAAAGCTGAGATCATGTACATTCTTGAGAACTCACATTTCAAGTTTTCAGAGATTTAAACTCTTCAAATATGAAATCATATCACCTATGCTTTTCAGTTGAAGAAAATTTATGGAAAGGATAGACTGGGGTCCATTTTAGCCTTGGATAATTTGGGCTACATTGTATGGAGTATTCCATCAGTGAGATGGAAATGGGACTGAGAATGAGAAAAAGAGAAAGTAAATGAGAGCATTACAAAGAGGAAACACAATACATATGAATACATAATAAAAATTGAATTGAGAATTAAGCATCCTCAAACTTTCTCAAACCTGAACTTATTTAAACTTGGAGAGGGAATGTAGAAAATATGATCTGTTTTAAAACCAGGTCTACTCAAACCTGGAGAGTATCTCCCTCTGAAAAATTACTATAACTGGGAAAAGTAAATGAAAGTGCAGAAATTATTAACACATCTGAATTACAGAACAAATCTTAATAACTAATGTTATTTTAAGCCAATGTAGGGATTTTACCTAGAATTTTTTCTTACTCTTCCCTAAAATTCAATATTTAAACACCATGGTAATGGCAATTTGCAGAAATCTAGAACTGAGTTGATGTTAGTAACAGCTGTTAGCACAACTGATCCACAGTACCTTATGATTGCAGATGTTTGTTTCTGCCAGTTCACTGTGAAAGTGTTTTTGTTTCTTTATGATACAACCTCCTTGTCATTCAAACATGTTCTGGAAATTATGGAATTTCATTGTTAATCATGAAAGCCAAGTATAATTGGAAGAATTTAGCTATCAAGCTTGCACTTCTTATCTTTTTTTCATAGTGAAAAAGCCAGGTATATTAATTCTTCTAAGACTCCCTTTAGCAATCTATTCTTGTTATTCTTTTATCCTTTTTGACTATCTCAATATGATCAAACTAAGATATAAAATTTTACATTATATATGTATATCTATATTTAATTGCTTTAAAGAGTTTTAGGAAAACTCTACAAAGTATTTCCTAATTTTAGGCTTTGAGGTTGAGTGAGAATCATGTGTTGTGCTATGTGGGTTAATGGTGAGGATGAAACAGCTATTTTATGAATTAACACAAATAGATTCATTTAATAAATTTCCTTAGATCTTAGCAACTATATATCATAAGTATAGTCCTTTGATAGTTGAGTTCCAGAAATGTCACATTGGGTCAGAGCTGTAGCTCAGCTAACTTTGTGTTCTTTTCCTGAGAATGATGCCTGTGTTCCCTGGAGGACAAATATGATTACCATTATCTCTACAATATCAATTCTCAAGGCTAGGCTAGGGGCCTATATATCTGTAATTTCTGAATAGATCTAAAATGTATCAATTTATATTTCTATTCCGAATTACTTCTCGAAATTACGAAATTCATTTGTTTACTTAACTGTGTTTCTTTTGTTTGCTGTTTTTCTCTTAAAACGGAGACTTTACAACTTCAAGGGTATGTACCCTGCTTTTAGAGTTTTTTAGTTTAATTTAGCTACGTCTGAAGATTTTATAAGTTTTAGTTTATCTAGGTGAAGACACTGTGATTTGAAAGAGAAGGTCATTTCTCTGGAAAGAAAGCAACTATCTCCTCTAAAGGTTTAATGGTGTTTAAAACAATTTAACAACCTCATAAAGAACATTCTAGTACTGCTGAGCACACTGGAAGGTACAGATACATTTTAATGGCTCAACAGGGTCCACTTGAAATTGAAAGCCTATTCTAAAATTATAGTAGGAAAAGGTAAAAACATCTAAGTATTAAAAAGCTGTGAATAATTTTTGTGTGAACAGCATTCCGTGTATATACCTAGCCACTAACTTAGGTCACTTACATGTTCTAAAAACTAATTTTTTTTTCTTTGAAATCACTTAACTGGTGAGTCTCAAGGTACCTGGACAAGCCTTTACATTTCTTTTTGGAGTTTCACTTATCTTATCTTTGTCATCTTTGCTAATGTCTTTGGTTTCTGTAGGACTTCTCTACTGTTCCTGGTTGGACTGTCTTTCAGAGCCATGTCCTGATCACATGCCCATAGGTGAAGAAAGGTGGTAGCTCATATTAAACTCTTAGTTTCTGCTCATTGAATAACAAATAAAACAATCAACTGACCTTGTGGTTTTTCAATGTAAATGAGTTTTCAGAGAAGGAAATACCCCATACAATTTGTGGAATTCTCTGGTGTCCCTGAGTTTTTCTCATGGAGGTAGAGTCTTCAGATTTGCCTTTCTCAATGAAATTGAGATGTCAAATAAGCATACTCAGATGAGCATCAGAACTAAAGACTAAAAGCTACTTTATAAAAAGCAAGCTTTTTAAATGTAAAGAAAAATCATATGTAGTAATTTTGCTTCCAGAGTTTAAAAAAATTAAATCATATTTTTTAACTTATTCAAGTTTGATCAAAAGTATGGAAGGAACAGTTAACTCTGTTGTGTAAAATATATTCATAAAACTCAGACCTATTTGAAACTTATTAACCCATTCCAGTCTGCCTGTGTTGAAATCCCTGCACTGCTGCTTCCTAGCTATCTGGCTTTGGATATGTCACTTGACCTTTCTGGCCCTCAGTTCCCTTATCTGGAAGAAAAAACGTAGTATTTACAGTGTCTATCTCATTGCATTTTTGTATGGATGAAATGCAGATCAGCACATAGTAGTCATTCAGTAAATGCTAAAGTCATCATCGCTATTGTCATCTGTTTCTGTGGTGCCATCAGTACCTGTGGGATGTGTTTAGCTACAAGAACATACCTAATTATATCTCAGAAGAAGAGGAATTTAGAGTTAATACATCTACTCATCTTTTTACTCTAAGATGGTGAAACAAAAGATCATCAGCTAAACACAAGCTTGTTCCTCTAGGACACTGTAGGTCTGGTACAAGTATTTCCCCTTTGTTTTAAAGGTTCGTTGGGGTGATAAAGGATCTACTGAGGAAGGGGCCAGGCTGGAGAAAGCCAAAAATGCTGTGGTGACGATTCCTGAAGAAGCAGAGGAACCAGTCAGACCTAGACCACCTCGACCCAAACCTACATACCAGCCTTCTCAGACAAAATGGTACACACCAATCAAGGTAATTCTTAAGGTTTTGTGTGACTCAGCTGAAACTTCCTAGAGAAACTGTCACTTCTTTAGCTCCTCCACCCCCATCCTCTCTGAAGAATGACCAAGGGACATCAAATAGCGGACATACATTATATATTCTAACAACTGAATACTTTCTCAGCAACAAGAACTTCTGTTTTTGTCATTTGTTCAATTTATGAAAGAAGAGAGAGTAGACCCTACCTTTTTCATTTTAACTCTTCTCTTATTCAATAAGTAGAGGTTGGGTGTGTTCCCTGGAAGCTCACACATATGTTTCCCTGCAGGGTCGTCTCGATGCGCTCTGGGCTTTGTTGCGACGGCAGTACCACCGGGTGTCCTTGATGCGACCTCAGGAGGGGGACGAGGTTTGTATGTGGGGCCTTGCTGGGAAAGAGCTGATCCCTGGGGTCGGAATAATGAAGGTGGTGAAATAACAAAGAGAATTTAAAGCCTTTATTACACTTGAGGAAGGAATTTTTGTCTTGTGCATATTCCTGTTACATAAGGTGCTTACCAAATTATTACATATTGGTAGAATATCTTCATGCTACAGTGTAACACAATTCTCTTTTCAAATAATACATTAAAATTATGGTCCATCATACATATACTTTTAATATGCACACTGATTGCCTCAGCCTTTGACTTGGACGACATCATATTCTGAGGTCTTACCCAGTGGAAAGCACAGACTGGGGATTTGTAGTTGAAGTCTTTCTCTAGCATTTATTAGACATGATGCCTGGGGAACATACCTCAGAGTTTCTGTTTCTTTGTGTGCCATTTATTTCCCTGTCTCCAACTGTTGATGTAATGTAACTTTTTGAATATACAAACATGTTTTTAAAGTTATATAGTTGTGCCCCCTTCTCCACGGTTTCAGTTACCCATGGTCCCGAAGCAGATGATCCTCCTGCTGACTTCCTGTCAGGTGTCAGTAGCTCCCCACGCTGTCACAGTGCCTTTGTCACTCAGCGCACTTCATCCCACTTACGCATTTTATCATTTCACATCATCGTAAGAGTAAGTCCAGTACAATAAGATACTTTGAGAGAGAAAGAGACCACATACACTTAGCCTTTATTACAGTATATTGTTATAATTGTTCTATTTATTATTTGTTTTGTTGTTAATCTCTCACTGTGCCTAAATTACAAATTAAACTTTATCATAGATCTGTGTGTATAGAAAAAAACATAGCTACATAGGGTTCAGTACTATCTGCAGTTTCAGGCAACCCCTGGGTCTTGAAATGTATCCCTAGGGATAAGAGGAACAACTGTAAAGCATTACACAAATCTGCAGTGGTAATACATACACACATATGTATTAAAAAACATACAAACATATACACGTATGCATGTATGCATTTTCCCTACCAAGAAAGCCCATTTGAGGCTTTGTTTTGTTTTTGGAAATTTGCCTAGGCTTAGTTTTATAATTTATTTAATATATAAGCTCTACTTTCTATTGTATCAATGTAAGAAAAAATTTACATATTTTCATATGTAACAGTGGACAGATTCAGAGATGCAATACTCTTAGTGCTAAAGCATCATTTCATTGTGTGTCCACATGATCATCATTCAGTTTTGACTAGTGTGTGAACTACATTCATGGTAGCTTCAGAAGACTTTACGTTCATTCATATTTGATAGGCTGTATCTTTAAAGATGAAATAATTGATTAAATTAATATTCATTTTACAGTGCCAAGCTAATGCTAAAAGATTTTAGATTGTTGTGTCAAATACAAAAGCATCTAAATCTTCAAATTTGCTTTGGAGAGATGGGGGTTATTTTAAAAACATCTGAGTTAACTATTTAGGAAATCCAATTTGAGGAAATATACCCAGAATATTCCTGACACATCATTTACCCTATGCTGGGACTATAGGTAGAGAGAACCATGTGGCTTTTAAAGCAGCCTCTTTCGCTACCAGACTAATGTGGTTAATAGAAATGTCTTATAGTTAATGAAATTTTATCTGTGTTTGAATTTATGCATGATCTAGAGTTTTGCTTCTGGGACAACATTTAACAACTCTACTTACTCTTCAATGTGCTAAACTTGAATTTAGCATGTTTTAAAATTTTCATGCATCATTTTAGTTTCCTTCCCCCAGCTTAGCTATTAGTTCATTTGTTCAATAAATTTCAGTTTGTTTCAATAATTTGTTCCATAACTTAAGAGCATTGGGTATTGTGCTAGCCCTGAAGATGTAGTAGCTGGCAAAAAGCAGTGGTTTCGGCACTCTTACCAATACTGTATTTTTTTTTTCACTCTCATGATTAAAATTTAGTTTTCAGTATTTCATCACTCCTACTAATTTGGATTTAATTCAGTAATTTTCAGATTATAAATATGCACAAGTATTCTCATAGGTAATACTGAGAGGTGGGTACAGACTATAGCCTTTGCCCTTAAGAAACCTAAAACTTGTTTGGGAGACATACAAAAATAACATTTATTCCAAAATGTGATCTGGGCCATATTATTGGTAGGTATTAAATACTTGTGAATACATAGAAGAAAAGAGAATACTCTCCCTGGAGGAATTTGGAAATGCCTCTTCAAAAAATGTAGGTCTCCTAAATTTGAAAATAAGTAGGATTTCCACTACCTTCTACTTATTGTGGCTAGTTAGATAAGCCCTCAAACATTAAACTGCCTGAATTCTATGGTTTTGACCAATTTAGTTTATGTAGACTTGGTTTGTCTCATAGGATTACGTGGAGTAAAGAAAATTTTAAACCTAGGAGGCTAAGATGTCCAAGTGGCAGCATCCTCTATTTCTCTGGCTATTCTTTGTGTTAAGTTTTCTAGATAAGCCAGGGCATACCACTGAATGAGAAAATTAGTCTTGGAGTTCTCTTACAGCTTTAGATAACCACACTTACCTGTGATTGGGCTTTATAGTGTAAGGAACAATAAAATCCTGTCTTCAGTTTTCCTCCCCTGAAAACAATCAGTACTTGATTAAACTAAACACTAAACTCAGACTACTCATGAAATATTTCACATATATATGTGTACTGTGTATATATATATGTATATATATTATTTTCCTTTGATGCTATTTGTCACTTTTATATCACAATTTTTTCCCATTAATCTTCCTCATTAAATATTAGTATATTTATAAATAATATTGTATCACCTAGATTATACATTGATTCCTCTAAAACAGTTGGTGCATATCAAATAACTCATTGGAACAAACATTATTAGCTATTCAAGGACAATTCTTTTGAAAACTCTTACCAACATATAAATTGGTGAATAAATTTTGCAACTAGTTTTATTCTCCTGTGCTTGTAAAGGCTTGTATGTGTTTACTTTTGATTTTGCTTTGTATGAAGCATTTGTATAATGGTATAGGAGGAGTGTGTGGGGGTGTGCATTGTGTGCAAAAAGTAGTTTGTACACTGTATTTACTAGAAAGGCTTCCAGAAAATTTTTCTAGTCCTTGGAAATGGATACAGTTGGTTTCATATTGTCAAGAAAGGAACAAGAATGCTTTCCCATTTCTGAATTTTAAAAGAAGTAATAGTCACTCTTAAAAAAAATAGGCAAAACAAACGTTAATGCTTCCTAAGAGACAATAAAACAAATTTTCTCAGGTTGTGGTTGACGGTGCCAAAATAACAGAACCTGTGCCTCGTCAACGGCATATTTCTACCGTGGAAAACAATCTTGTCATTTATTTATAAATTCTTTACGGTAGATTCTTCCTCTTGAGAGGTTAGTTTAATAAATCAGCGTATGTAGAACTAAGCCCGGAGCCGCGTAAGTTTCCACTGCAAGGCCCGTCACGCTGAATTTCAAGCCAAATGTTCTCCTTGTACTGCTTACAGGCCTCACCGGGCCCACTGGCAGAATTCACTGCTGAACTGAAGTCCTTGATCAAGTAATTGAAGTTCAGGCATAAAGTATCAAAGCGACGCGAGCCGTCTCCGGCGCCGTGGCTCGCTCCCGCTCCCTGCGCGCCGCAGCTCCCGCGGAGGGGGCGGCCTCCGCGGCTGCACGCGGGCCGGGCGCGGGCTTTGATTGCGGCCACAACTCCTCCGAGTCATGAATGTTTCAGCGCGCGGCGCGCGAGGTTAGGGCCGCGCGTGCAGGTGTAAGCTAGCAGGTTGTCGCCGACATCTGTTCGCCGCAGCGGCACGGCCTCGCCAGCCCGCAGCGAGCGGCCGGACTGTCAGCCGAGGTAGAGAGCGGCAGAACCATTTTGGTCTCACGCTCGCTGCCTGGAGGCCTGAAACACCAAAGGTAGGAGCGCGGTGGACACAGCTGCGCTCCCAAACTTGCCTTAGGCACAAATAAAGAGATCTAATGCAGTCTGACTTCGTTGCGGTGGGGAGACGAGGACAGAAAGCCACTTCAGAGACAACTTAACGCTGCAACATCTGCCGCCAAGTTTCTAGGGAGTGACGGGGGACAGCAGGTACAGATTGAAGTCTCCACACAAACAGCCTCCATTAAGCCATGGACTCTTTTGAAGGGCCTCCATCAAACATGCTGGAGTCCGCAGCAGGAGTTTGTTTGGTTTTCAAAGCAGTTTTGTTTTTGCAATAACAAGGTAATTTATAAATGATGCATTACCATGCGTTCTCCTTTTTTGTTTTAATTTGAAAAGAGAGAAGCAGAAAGGGGAAGAAAGGAGCAAGCGCAGCGCTGGTTTTGGAGTTGTTCCCCAAACCAGTCAAGTCTCCAAGGAGCTTCTTGGCGGTGATCGAGGTTATGTTAACCTTCAGACCGCAATCCCTCATTCCCCAATAAGCAGATGTAGATTTAGGTACTGCAAAACAAGAACCCTAGTCATAGGAACACCGGTGAAGTGCATCCACCGTTTGTTTTTAAACATACGGGGCTTATTACATGAAGATGAACTGGAATTCGGTGTTTTTTCAGATACATGTCATTTTCAGTAAAACAAAATTTAGAACGTTGCACTGATTTTAGTTTTCTTACTGTTTATAAAAGCTCAATACCTGTAGTTGGATATTAAAATATTAAGTCAGAAATAAGAATTACATATTAAAGGAAGCACTTTTCTTTTCTTGAGGGGTTTCCCCTCTAACACCTAAATTGAGCCAGAAAAATATCAAGAATATGTATCATTTTCTCCAGGAATACTGCAAAAACTCGTAATTGTGCACACACACGTATATAATAAAATTAGCATATTAACCTATTAACCTGACAAGTAAAGCTCCAGGGAATTGTAAGTAAATTAAGATTCTGTAGTAATTTCAACTATTATGTTTAATAAAATTTAGGTTCCCTCACCTGAGGTAGTCCCTGCCATGCGGGAAAATCGTGAGGTAAAGGAAAGGTGCTGATGCAGAGGCTTCTTGGGCTT